AAATACTCTCTGCACCTGTGGCAGCTAGGGTGAAACTCTCAAATTCTCAGGAAATTATTGTATTGATTGTTTGCTAAAGGCAGTGCCTATTCTGCTTACCATTTTCAGAATGTACTTTCACACAGGTTGAGCTATAAATTTAACAGAGCAGTTGATGTGGCTTGCAATAACTTTATTCAATTTAAATATGGTTGGACGGGAGTAAAACAAGCATTCAGATAGCTGTTTGGTCCTCTAATACTCTATATTGTCCCTCCTAGCCTCTGTGTAAGTGGGTTTTCTGGTATATTGTCATTCATAACTCTTCCAGACTTGACCACATGTTCTGAAGTTTAGTATTAGCCCCATATCCTGCAAATAGTCATGCCCATGCTTAACTTTAATTTTAGATAAGGGCATAAATATTTGCAGAATTGAGAATTAAATTTCTAATACATGTTCTTGTACATACTGTAAGTATTAGTTGGGTGTCCATTCAAATTCCATTGACTTATTTCTATTTAGGTTTTACCACTAGTTTACATTGTTGATCCTGCTATTTTATTGACTCTCACTCTCATGAACATCACTCAGTAGATGGCTAAAAATAATATATTAACCTACGTTTTATAAAGCGCACCCTTACACACCAACTCGGGTGAATTTATGATAATTAACATAAGAATGGCCATACTGGGTCAGACCAAAGGTCCATCCAGCCCAGTAGCCTGTCTGCTAACAGTGGCCAATGCCAGGTGCCCTATAAGGAGTGAACCTAACGGGTAATGATCAACTGATCTGTCTCCTGCCATCCATCTCCACCCTCTGACAAACAGAGGCTAGGGACACCATTCCTTACTCATCCTGGCTAATAGCCATTAATGGACTTAACCTCCATGAATTTATCCAGTTCTCTTTTAAACCCTGTTATAGTCCTAGCCTTCACAACTTCCTCAGGCAAGGAGTTCCACAGATTGACTGTGCGCTGAGTGAAGAACTGCTTCCTTTTATTTGTTTTAAACCTGCTGCCCATTAATTTCATTTGGTGGCCCCTAGGTCTTATATTATGGGAACAAGTAAATAACTTTTCCTTATTCACTTTCTCCACACCACTCATGATTTTATATGCCTCTATCATATCCCCCCTTAGTTTCCTCTTTTCCAAGCTGAAAAGTCCTAACCTCTTTAATCTCTCCTCATATGGGACATGTTCCAAACCCCTAATCATTTGTTGCCCTTTTCTGAACCTTTTCTAATGCCAGTATATCTTTTTTGAGATGAGGGGACCACATCTGTATGCTGTATTCAAGATGTGGGCGTACCATGGATTTATAGAAGGGCAAGAAGATATTCTCCATCTTATTCTCTATCCCTTTAACGATTCCTAACATCCCGTTTGCTTTTTTGACTGCCGCTGCACACTGTGTGGACATCTTCAGAGAACTATCCATGCTGACTCCAAGATCTTTCTCCTGATTAGTTGCAGCTAAATTAGCCCCCCATCATATTGCATGTATAATTGGGGTTATTTTTTCCAATGTGCATTACTTTACATTTGTCCACATTAAATTTCATTTGCCATTTTGTTGCCCAATCACTTAGTTTTCTGAGATCTTTTTGAAGTTCTTCAGTCTGCTTTGGTCTTAACTATCTTGAGCATCTTGAGTTTAGTATCATCTGCAAACTTTGCCACCACACTGTTTACCCCTTTCTCCAGATCATTTATGTCATCAATTATTAGCTCTCATTACCCACTAAGCAGAGGACCTTTGTCTTTCTCTTGCTCCTAATTGATTTTTCTGTCCCTTGCTAGGTATAATTCATTTTGTGCCTTTACTTTTCTGATTTTGTCCCTGATGGCTTGGGCTAGTCTTGTCTTTTGTATTTCTCCTTAGCAATTTGTCCATGTCTCCACTTTTTGTGGGATTCTTTTTTATTTTCAGGACACTCGAGTTCCTGATAGAACCTCTTTCCTTCGTATCAGGCCAGTTTGCTGTTGAGCCTTTAATATAGTTTCTCTGAGAAACTGCAAGCTCTCCTGAGCTCTTTTTTCCTTTAGATTTTCTTCCTATGGGACTTTACCTACCAATTCTCAGAGTTTACTAAATAATTACCACAAAAGGAGATTATTTCCTCTCCCACTCAACATACTACTTTTTAAAATAATTCTTAATACTTTGTATCAATTATTCACCAGGCTGGGTGCCATTTATATGGTTGCTTCTTCCTTACATTAAAAAAGAATGTCAAACTACAAAATAAGTCATTTCTCCAAGCTAGCATTCATAGAATACAACATTTCTAAAGCCACCTCCCCAATGAGCTGTATCATTCACCACCGAAGACAATGACAAGCCTCCTAAATTGACTTACGTGGGTACAGGATCAGGTCCAGTGTCAACTTATTTGGGCCTCCACAAGTACATACAAACCCCCTTCCAAGTCTGCAAAAAAAGGCTCTTTGCAACCAAAACCATGCCTGTCAATTCTCGTCCTTCTCACACACGGAGACGGAATTTACAAAATGAGCGTAACTTGCTCATTGCTATTTCAGTGTGAAGGTAAATAAATGCTTATCTTAAAATAATACAATGCAAAAAATCTGTTTTTCATCTAAGTCTCTTTCCTCACTCTCTAGCAGATATGCTGGTCTCCTCACAGTCTCAGAAACTAGTTTAACACAGGACTAAGCTGGCAAATAGTACTTTTAAAGGTAGATGTTATTACTAAAAATGATGAATCCAAGCATAATCTACACTTTAGAATTCTGAGACAATAAAATCTCAATTCATATTATGAATACAATTTTTGAGAAAGAAGAGAGTTAACTGTGCAAATACCTTGTCATGTATATCAGTTAAACCATAAGGACTTACGTAAGTGTCACCTTACAAAATCAAAGATCTATGAATCCCACATCAACTTCACTAGCTGCTTTGAACTGCTAAAAGCAATGAAGAAGTTAACTGCAAGACTAGGCACTGGGACAAGTTTTAGGGACGTCTTCTTTTCTGTTTCTTTGCATAATGGGGTACAAATAAGTAGAATACGTGCCTCAATAAAAGAGAATGACAAAATGTATTATTCAACCAGTTAAACAGGGGCATCACCACTCCAAGCATATGTGCAGTAACTTAAGATGCACTAAATCACAGTCTGTGCATTCTGGATTATATTCTGTAATTAAAGGACTAGTCATAGTACTGTATGACTGCCTCAATACCATATTTTAACATATTGCCTAAAAACTAGAGCTGATCCGAGGACAACAATTCAGTTTCACATTAGAGCAAAAATAAAACCTTCAGAATATTTTCACACAAATGGGGTGAGGGTAGAGTTTACAGAGGCCCAGGACACCGTGGTGGAAGTGAATATAAGACGGACTTTATTTTCTGCGTACACACGCTTATATCTGCCTGCTGTATACCCCCTAGTGGCTCTCTCTTTTCACAGCTAACACACCAGAAAGGTAGAAGAGAAAGCAGGGACTTTAACATGGGTCTCCCACATGCCAGGCCAGTGTCCCATCCACCAGGATAGAGAGAGTCTCTCCCTCCCTGATCTAAAAACCTGCCTATCAGAAGTTTTGTGGAAACCAGTACATCTCTGCAAAACATTTAAGCTTTGATGAAAGGGCATATTTCAGCAAAAATGTTGTAACTAGTTCTACTTAAAACACTCTCAAACCAAAGTAAGGCCCCTGTTCATGCAAACTCTTATGAATTTGCTTAACTTTAAGCACATGACCATTAATTTCAATGAGGCTACTTGCATGCTTTAAGTTAAGCACATACAAAAGTGTTGGCAGGACATTGCCTAAAAGTCTGTGCACCTCCCACACAGGCAGCCATCCCTTCAAGCAAACAGCTTTCCTCCTGCCACAGAAGATCAAGAGACTTTGAGTTTTGGTGGACCAGCAGGGAAAGTGATTCCAGAGCATGGAACACCCTGAGTCAGATTCTATCCTGTGCCTTGCAAGACATGCAGATTGGGTGGAGCAGCACAGGCTGGGGAGAGGGAAAAGTGACTTCATGCCAAATTAGAAACAAAAAATACCTGAAATCCCATAACTTGTTCTTGTCCCAAATTTTGCAAACTGAAGAGATTCATAATCGTTCACATAAATGTTCTGTTTTGAAATGTTTATCTAAAGCTTTGAATGTAGGAAGTTCACTGCATTCTTTTCTCTGTCTTTTGGGGTAGTAGATGCCTTTGTGGGAAATTTAGGGTAAAATTTGCAAAATCCCTATATGACTAAAGTCCCATTTTCAAAAGTGACTTAGGAGCCTAAATCCCAATGATTTTAAAATTCTAAGGGCTTGTCTACTTGAACATTAATTGATGGCAAACTGGGATGTGAATCTACCCACACTGGCCTCCTGCACACTAACTTCCATGTGGACCCTGCTGCTGTGTGCTAAAAGTTCCCTGGTTCATTTTTATCTACCCTGCTTTGAAACAGGAATAGATTGAAGTGCAATAGGGAACTTTTAATGTATGGCAGCAGGGTCCACACAGACACAGCTAGTCTGTGGCAGGTTAGTGTGCGGTAGATTCACACCCCAGCTTGCCACGAACTAAGTGTTTGTACAAATAAGCCATTGGGCACTACTATCTTTGAAATGGGACTTAGTCTCCTGCGTCATGTGAGCGCTTTTGTAAACTTGACCCTGAAAGAAAAAAATTAATTGCAAAGTGTTTAATAAAACCTTGAGAAAAGCAAATGTTATTTCCACAAAGTATGCTAAAGGATGAGCTCAGATTGCTATTCCAGGGTAAAGCATGTTTGATTCTACATCCTGGCTTTATGGATCACAGTATGCAGGTACTTCTTCAGAAGAACCTCGCTGGACTCTAAACTCAACAAAATGGCAGTCTTTGAAAAATGCTTGCCTCTGAGTCTGTCATGTGTACCTGTCACCAAACCCACTCACTCTGTTCTAATAGGATTGAAACCCATCAAAACAAGCCAATGAACGACAGCTTTCACACAGAGCACCTTCATTTTATTTTTTCAGGGCTCCGAGTAGAAGGCCTGTTCAGAAGATCAGCCAGCATACAAACTATCAAAGAGGTTCAGAAACTCTATAATCAGGGTAAGTCGCCATCCTCCCGTTGCTTTAAATTAATAACACTCTAAAGGCCAGATTGATGTTCTATCTGTTGGTGACACAGTATCGCTATCTTTCATGTAATTAGTTAATCATAAACCCATTTGTAACCTAAAATGTCATATTAGTGTAAGCAGTAATACAGAAACCTGAAAGATAACGACAGGCATTTAAAGCTTTCTGAATAATGAGTCATCAATTGATGTCAAAGCTGGAGTTTACAAGATCTGCAGCAACTAATGAATTATGAGGCTTAAGTCAAAAAATGGTCTAGTTTTTCATAAACACTTGCATTGCCTCAATGCGTGGTAGGTTACTGCAGTTAGTTACAAATTATCCAGTGCAGTATCTTCTTGTCATTTTGTCTCTAGCGTTTTTCCATGGTTATGACAATGAAATATAATTTTACATAACAATTTGTGAAATGTGTTGAATTCATTTGCTGAAATGTCTTTTTGAGGTGAGTCTCTTGAAGCTAGATTAATAAAACTCCATTTAAAAAAGTACAACATGACAATGTTAAGATTTTGCAGAAGCTGAAAACAAGGAGGTTCTCTTTTTCTAACTGTGGTTTGGAACAATTTTTAAACAATAATAAAAGAGATGTTGAAACATGTAACTAAGGAATCATCCTTTTTGGTCCTCTAGGGAAGCCTGTGAATTTTGATGACTATGGAGATATCCATATTCCTGCTGTTATCCTGAAGACCTTCCTCAGGGAACTCCCACAGCCTTTGCTAACCTTTGAATCCTACGATCAAATCCTTGGAATCACCAGTGAGTATAAATCACTTATCATGTCATGAGTTTTATATTTGTAGTTGATCTGGGTTTGGCTAATTTATAATGACTCTGTCACTAATCCATGACATAGTAGGATTTGTATCAGAACATTCATCTCCTCTAAGCCTCAGGCACTAGACCAGAGGGCTCAAAGTCCCGGCCTACGGGCCATCTGCGGCCCGAGAACCTCCCCAGTGCAGCCCGTGGAGGAGAGACACATGCAGCCACGCTGCCAGCTCTGTCTGCTGCAGGCACCGCCTCCCACTGCTCCCATTGGTGGGGGGAGAGGGACAGAGATACCATCACTAGTTGCCGGGCAGAGTCAGCCATGGAGGCAGTGTCACTTTTTTCCATAATGACTATAAACAGGTCAAAATACCGAACACAACTATCTGATACCCACCTTACTGCAATCCTGAAGGTTTCAACTGCTCAGTCACTGAGGCCAAACATCAACAAACTGACAGAACTGAAGCGTTGCCAGGTGTCTGGCAAACACTAAAAACTCTCTGGCAGGCAAAGAAGTTGTATGACAGTTTTATTATTTCTAAGAAATTTGAAATAAAAAAATACAATATAAATGTTTTCTTTTCTAAACACCATCTTCAGTGACATTATTGTCCCACTGGGAGGATTTGAGGACTGGCACTGGCCCTAAGGTAAATTGAATTTGAGACCCCTGCACTAGACTGATCTGATAGCAAGTTCAGCGTTCCATCCAGTAGAGGGCAGAGGTAAAAATCCATGGCCCAGACTTTCAGAAATAGGACCCTAAAGTTAGACTGCAAGCCCATATTTCGGCATCTGCCTGATTTTCAAAAGTCCTGAGCTGCTAACAGCTTCCACTCTGTCAGGTGCATAAAAGTTTCTGAAACTCAGCATTTCTGAAATTAGACCAAGGGCCTAAATACAGACTTAGCAGTCTAATTTTGGATTTATATCTTTTAAAATTTTGGGCCATGTTGTAGAAGTACAAAACAGCATATTATTATATATTTATAGTACAGTATATTAATATGCACCTTTTCTTCCATCCTTCACCCCGCTTTGCTCTATTCCCTTTGCCCATACTAAAACCCATTGTTCTGTTCTTTTTGTACGTTTTTTATATGGTGCTTTGCATCCTGGAGGTTTTCAAAGTGCTTTTCAAAACTATTTACTGCTCCATACACAAATCACTTCTCTGCTAAAGTGCAACTGCCTTTGGGGATGGAAGTTGTCAGCCAGATGGGGGATCAGTGTGCAGTGAAGAAGTTGAGCAAGGGAGGAATTTGGAACAATGCCACCAGGGCAAACTCCACTCTTATGGAAGCATGCTGTGTGATATGTAATGTCCACACAGAGCAGGTAGGAGCTTGAAGATTTAGCCCCAAAGGCCCACACATAGACCTCTTGCTTTTTAACCAAGGTTTACTCATTTATTTGTACTGCAATCCTGCATCATCAAGAATTAGGTAAAATTTCCAGTGTGCTTTACTCAATTACTTCAAAACATTGGACCACACTCAGTTACACCAGTGCAATCCCAGTGTCTTCATCTGCACTAGTGAAATTGTGGTAGCAGAATTTGGCCCAGCCTATGTATATTTTATTGAAATTTTAGTAGAGCTACTACTCTGGAATAAAATATTAGGGAACAAACCGGAGTGACTTAAAGCTTAGCGAGGGGAATATATTAATTATCTAAAGGGCTGACATCACATGAATCTACTGGTGATAAAACTTCAATCATGTGGCCTTTTTCCGGGCATTGGGAATTTTTTATGCTGACAGAGTGAGTCTATATATTCCAGTATGTCTGGCATTTAGTACACCCTGCTTGGAGAGACATATATTCTGCTATGCACTAGTTCCATTGTAGGTGGGTTCTAAATTCTGATAAGCATTGAGTCAACAGAACTTCCAGTCACAAATTGTGAAAGAGGGTTGTTCTAACCAGGTGCTCTTTGAGGTGGGGGTAACTAAGGCTTGGCTGTTTCCAGAACAGCTTGTTACACTCTGTTAATAACTGAGAGACTCTGCTGTTGAAAAGCTGAAATTATTATCAGTGGCAGTCTCTGTTGCAGCTGGTGACTATGATAGTAAACTCTTTCAGGCAGGGACTGTCATTTGGTTATGTGTTTTGTATAATGCAGTGGGGTCCTGATCCATAAGTATGGCTCCTAGGCATTCTTTCAAAACGAAGAAGAAGAAGAAGAAAAGTTGAACGTGTCCCTGTTCCTGCAGCTACTTATGCACATATTTAGCTTTGCTCATGTGAGTAATCCCATTCATGATAATCCAGGGTACAGTGCAGATTAAATCTTGTTTAAAGCTTTCATGGAGTTCTATGCAATTTATTATGTGCAGGTCTTTTGGAGAACACCTTAAAATATATTCTAATGTTCATGTAATTGTAAGTCAAATAGACTCACTAGGTGGCTCAGGGTGTCATTTACTTTCTCCTGGCAGTCTTAAGTTCAAACTCTATTTAGCTCATTAGTGAAAAGGAGTTTAATGATGTCAAGCTAGTTTCTAGAAAATGCATATCCACAGAAATCACCATCTTGCGAGTCTCTGCCTAGGACTTGAACATGGAGGATTGGTGCAGGGTCACAACAGAGGTATGTTTGCAGGTATATGAGTAAGGAGAGAGCATTTTGAGTGGCAGGGGTCTCATTGAGAGTTGAGTCAGGGAATAAATATAGTAGCAGCTGTACCCAGTACAGAAAGAGAGGTAATGGGATTCAAATTTAGGACCATGAAATTTCCCTCTAGCAAAGGAACAGCTTCAGCTAACTCATATGCTAGAGAAAATAGTCTGAGAGTTATTCTCAGGCTCTGAGTTGTGCTGTCCAGTGATTATATGAGGGGCTGGGAATCAGGTGTTTTAGATTCTATTCATAACTCTATCAGTGACTAACATCATGATTTTTGAGTAACTTCACTTCTCTCTCTCAATTCTCTTGTCTGTAAAATGGGCATAATAATCCCTGCCTACCTCACAAGGATGGTGCGAGGCTTAATTAATACTTGGAAGATGCTTTGAAAATCTCAGTTGAAAGTGTCTTTGCAATCTAAAGGCATGTCACTAATTATTATCCTGTAACAGGGTACAACTCACCATTCCAGCACCTCCTGCTGGCTGTCTTGGGAATTAGCTCTGCATGTTAGTGCACCCTCTTTGGGTGGTGCCTCACCATCACTCCTGCTCCAGAACCCACATCTCTCCAAGGACCACAGCATCCTCTTCAGTGACACAGCCCTCCATCCATGCCACACACTGTGCTCCCCGCTTCCGGGGGACCTGCAGTCCACTGTTCAGCCACTTTCCTCAGTGGCTACTGTACCAAATTGTCTGGCCACTTCCTTGTGGCCCCAGTATCCTCATTGTCCTTGCCTCAGCCTGCAAACCCCAGCAACCAGCCAGGAAACTGTCTCTTGCTCCCCAAGTCCCTGCTAGCAGCACTGCTGTGTCCATGGTGCTGGCAGTTCCCTCAGCCCTCCAGAGACACAGTCCTTCCTCCCTGGGCTCCCAACAGAAAACTGTGCTCCTCAGCCCTTCAGCTCCCTTTTTATATTGGCCTGCCTGGCCCTGACTGGCTGTTCCCTTCAACCCCTTTCTAATTGGTCACCTCCAGTGCAGCCTCCCTAGGGCTGCTTTTAATCCCTTTTCTGCCAGTGATGGGCAACTGCCCCATCACATATCCCAACAAAGGGAAGTAGTGTACACAGATTGAGCTGAATTCAGCTCTCACTTACAGAGATGTAAATCCAAAGTAACTTCACCAGATTTTTGCAGGTGTCACTAAGTTTATAAATTGTCCTAAAAAGAAAATTGCAACCTTATCTATATTTTGATGCCTATTGGATTAGATTACATATGACCTTGATATTACAGGTGTGGAAAGTAGTTTACGAGTGACGAGCTGTAAACAAGTAATCCAAGGACTTCCTGAGCACAATTATGTTGTTCTGAAATACTTGATATGCTTCCTTCATATGGTGAGTACAGGCAAAATTCCCATAATTCTGGCAGACTTTTTGTAAAAGTCTGTTTTTGCAAAATTCAACATTTAAAAGAAAAGAAAAAGAATTGGAAGAGTTGGAGAAATGCAAAAAGGATGTTGTGCATTAATTGTCAATGCAGCAGCTTCAGGCTGCAACACATATCCACTTCTAATAAAAGCCAGAGTTGAACAATGACCTCAGTGATAACGTCAGTATAAAACTCTGTATAAATCATTGAAACCACGGTCTAAATAGACATAAAACCACATGCTTGCTCATGTGTTTAAAAGGGACACTTCCACATTTCTAGTGCTTTTGATTTTTTAATCTTTTTTTTTTTACTTTCCCTTTTTGTGTGAAATACCTTTTTAGAAAAAGCTCAAAAATGACGTCTTCCCTCCCCCAGCAATAAAATAAACAAGCCTGTAAAGCCTTTAGTGCCTGAGAAAGGTGTTGGATCAGTAGCCCCTGGAGTCCAAAGTCATCTGTTTATTCACAGAAGAGAAATAAAGCAATAGTAGCAGCAATGCAATCTCCCTTCCTACTGCCCAATTTTACCATCTTTCTGGGCTGACCTTTTCAAGCCTGGATGCTTAAATTTAAGCCCCTTCATACATATTTATGAGGCACCTAAGTAAAGCAGGCTGATTTTCAGAGTGCTGGGCACTCACAAATCCCGTGGAATTCTCAGGCACATTGCTGATTTATACCATCTGACGAATTGGTCCTCAGGGCTTGTGAGCCACATTTCAGAAACAAGTTATTTTAATGCCTCTTTATAGCAAAACCTCACCAAAAAGCAGTATTAAAGGAAACACACTGATCCAACCCTGACGCAGACAAAACTAGTGGGTACCTTTCATACCTACATGTTCATTTATCATTACTTAACTGAACTCCAAAAGCTATTATAAAAATCCTCACGTCATTTGCTATTATTTCAGCAACTGATCTCTCCTCAGTGTTATGAATCGTGTAAGTGCCTTTGTTCCAGTACTAGATGCACCATCTCGACGCACTTCTTAAGAGCTGAACACTTGAGGTGTTAATGAGGTGTGCAAAAGTACTACATAGTGTTTTCTATAATTGGGCAACAGAACATAGCATTTATTTTTGAGTGTGCCTTGTTATGTAAAGCACAGAGTCAAGTTGATATTAGCACTCAGATCTGCAATTTTTGCTGATCTGTAGCTTTTAATCTTTCATGTTTGAGGGAGTATTTGCATTCATAAAGGTCAAGGGAATGTGAAACAACCTGGAAGCTGGAGATTTCTATTCATCATAGGTCAGGTGTGCTATGCAAGCAGCCATAATTCAAACTTGAACACACTGCTCTTCCAATAATCCCAGTTTTTACTTGTGACCATCACCCTTCTTACATATAAGAGGTAATTTAATTCCCTCACAAGTTCAGCCTTGAGTAGCGTAAGAGGTACTTGTGGTAATTTTATGAAATGGGATGAAATGTAATCAGGAGACAGTTTTTAAAGATGGTAAATTTGATTCAAGCTTCTCAGCAAAAGACCAACACTTTGCTATGCAGTCTCTACCCCCTTAACGACCGATCTTCTTGTGACCAAGGGACACTACAACAAGACAATGTGATTCCAACAGCAGTAAAAGACCTGAGTTATGGGAATGGCTCCAAGTCCTTTGACCTTAGACTAGCAGTAAATGATTCCTTCCATAATGAGCCCAGCATACTGAAAAAGGAGCAAACTGTCTATTCCCCACTCAGGAATATCTCAGGCTGCTAGAAAATGATCATTTTGGGCAACAGCAGTACCTTACCACTAAGAGCAAATCTGAGTAGTGGAAAATGTTGCATGTTTGTACAGCAGCTAACACAATGTCCCACAATTGAGGTATCTAGGCATTACCATAATACAAATAACAAGGGGAAAACAAGCGGTGTTTTCAAGACTCAGGCCCTAAATGGTGCCCACAAAAGATTTACATGCATGGATGCTCAGCTGAGTTCACAAAATGTGTGTGCGTGCACAAACGAGTATTTGTATGTACAAGTTTCCATTGGCATGTGCAGTAAATTGATTTATGCATGAATAGATGAGCTTAGCGGGCTCCAAAAACTGCTTATATGTGTGCAAATTATTTTGCAGAAGCACTTTTTTGGGCTCCAGTTATAAAAATACGGTGAAAAATTTACAACACAGCCTTGTTAATGAATACATAATTCAATTTGTTTGTCAGGAAATGGGTTGTTTTCCTCTTTACAGAATGACATGCAGGCTAGTTTGCAATTACTCAGTTTGAGGCTAAATCTTGAGTTTGGTTTATGTGGTGGTAAGGGGCACATAAGCCCCAGATGGCTGAGTAAGCCGGCTCTTCACTGGACAGATCAATACTGCGTCCAGGTCTGCAGCATGGGCACTATAGCAGCATAGCTACAACGCCGTGACCATGCCACTGTTACCCTGTAATATAGATGCAGACTACAGTGACAGAAGAGGTTTTTCCATCACTTTAGGAATTCCAACTCCCTGGCTGACAGTAGCTAGGTTGATGGAAGCATTCTTCTGTCAACCTAGCTGCATCTACACTGAGGGTTAGGTTGGTGGAGCTACGACGCTCAGGGATGTGCATTTTTCACACCCCTGAGCGCTGTAGCCATGTCAACTCAAGGGAGGAAAACTGGGTTGTGTATGGAAAGCCACCAGACGGGATCAATATCTGCTTTCTCAGGTGGAGGATCCTTAGAACTTATGCAATGCCAAGCTGCCCTCCATGAATCCTGGTCCTTCTCACTCCTGGCAGCTGGGTCTCATAGCTGCAGTAACCCCCAGGCTTACTGCTACCTTTTCACAAGGGTGTGTCCTTACCTTCTAACCAAGAAAGATTAGATTTTGGAGGGAGATTGGGAGTGGTGTCACTGTCCTTATTTCCCCTCAAGTTACAATGGGAGGACCGTTGTGATCTTTGGTCCAATAGAACCTGTATTCTCCAAGTCATCAACTGGTAAAACCCTATTTATGGCTGCATGGCCTTCCTATGCCACTAACTGTCAATCAGCCCCCTGTCATGGGATTGGGGAAGCACTCTGCTTTTTTAGGGACTCCCCAATGCCATTCCTCAGCACCTGGGTGGCGCAGAGCTGTGGACTCAGCCTTGAGGTGGGGCTTGGGCTGGGCAACTGCATAGCTACTATGTGCTCAACCTCGAGGTGGGCTAACCTTTCAGGATCCATTTAGGCCCTGTGGTTATAGAATATTCACGCCAGGCAGCTCCATGTGGAATTTGGCACTTCACGTTGCTTGCATTTGTCACTTTTGGTGGTATGTATGTTTTTTTCCAGGTATCCCAGGAGAGTATTTATAACAAAATGACTGGATCCAACCTGGCATGTGTCTTTGGGTTGAATTTAATCTGGCCGCCTGAAGGAGCTTCTTCCCTGAGTGCTTTGAATCCTCTGAATCTCTTCACTGAATTACTGATAGATTTCTACTCCAAGATCTTCAGTTCACGAACAGTACCTGGTGATATCTTACCTTAATGTTCACAAAAAGGGAAAAGGAATATGCCTACCTTAGCAGAAATCTTCACATATAAACCTATGAGAATTTACTATACACAGGATTTTACAGAAACAAGTATATTTCATATACAGAGCAAAATCCTTTTCTCAATTTTGCATCACCATGATTTTGCAGATATCAAAGATGTTAGGGGAAATATGCTTACCGATACTGTTTGTATGTGGATGTGTGTATATAAACATTCACAAACCTACAGGTCAAAGTGGCATAAACTTTCCTCTTTTCATAATCTTTAGCAATTGTTAAATATTTGTTAGTTTAAAAATTCATAACAGTAGATAAGACTGTCATTTATTTAAGCATCCTGAAGTTTCCTACTTTGTGGCATTTTTTTCTAGGGCGATGCTAAGTCATCACTTGGGCCATAACTTCTGGACCATCATACCCCTTCTTGCAGTAGGGCTATACAGGCAATTTTTTCCTCTGGAAAAAGTTTCTTTTGAAGTCTTCAAATGTATACAAATTATAGATCAATTTTTCAGAATTTCAGGCACTCATTCCCACATGCACAAAAAGAGTGTGCACTTGTGTCTGCGTTTATGTGCAAGTACCATGAAAACCAAAGTATTTGCCAGTGTCAGTTAGGTTATGCATACATCTGTCTCTGTGCTTTTAAATATCTAGTATGCCTGTCCAACCATTGTAGTTGCATGTGCAAACTAAGTGGAAAATTACACAAGCACTCTTGAGGTTTTAAAAATCAAGTAATTTGTGTTTTTATTTTTAAAGAATTTCTGTTTGTATCAGTATATAGTTAATACAGAATGTAAGAAAACCTTGTTTGAAAAAGGCATTGAATGTTTTCATTATTTGCTGTATGCTCTTCAAGTTTTTTGAGTTGTTAGAAATCTGCTCCTAAAATCAGTCTCTCCCACACACACACACCCAAAAAAAAGAGAGAGAGAAAGAAAGAAAACCTTAACTCACCCTGAACCCTGGAAAATACTCCTGATGGCACTTTTATCTAATCTAGTGTGTGTTATCGGTGGGATGACATTAATCCCAGTGGGAATAATTAGCCATAGTAATGTAAGGGGGAGTTTCTGTGTTTTCTCTCTAGATACTTGTATTTGAATACCACTTTACAGTTCTGCTCCCTCTGTCTGCTACTGATCATTAGTGGAACAGGATACGGATGTTGTCCTTGTAACAGCAAAAGGGACTGAAGCAGTGGTGACCAAAGTAAGCAGTATTTTCCCAAACGTCTGCTTCTCCTGCTCCCATACAAAGCTGCTGAAGGAGACGTACCCTTCAGGATATAGTAAAGACAATGATCCATGGAGACCAGTTTGGTTATCCCTTCACCTTCAAAAACAAAGCAACCCTTTTCCTTCTCGCGGTTCTAGCTAACTGGGGGCTTGTGCTTCTAGTCTCTCATCTTGATAGCTACTAAGTATCTATCTGCCTGTCTGACAGATGCAGGCTTCCAAATCCTTGTGTGAGAGAGCAAGTAGTGATTTATTCTTTTTGGCAATTTAGAGAAAATAGGAGAGAGTACCCATCGAACTATGTCAGTCCTATGTTTGCCCAGTAGATGTCATGTACAGCATAAGGCTATAAAAGGAAATTATTAAAATGTCAATAATCAAAAAGCTATAGAACAAGCTGTACTGTATGTCACATCCTTTTAAAATTTAAATTATGGTGTAATTTTCTCTTAATTCATCAAGTGTTTCAAAATTTGGGCTTTTAAATATCTATTGTTAAGTGTCTGTTCTTTGTTAAAAAAAAAAAAGGGGCATACTTGTGGCACCGTAGAGACGAACAAATTTATTTGGGCATAAGCTTTTGTGGCCTAAAACCCACTTCATCGGGTATCAAGTGGCCAGTTTGGCATGACTTTGCTACTTACATATAAAATGTTGCACAGTATAAAGAGAATAATTAAGATGAGTTTATGAATTTAATGTTGTTGCACTTTCAGGAAAATGAGGTTGCAAAGGAGGAAATGTGTTCAGTCTCTGTTTTATGTCATAAATTGTTAAGACAAATACATTGCTGTGCAGTGCAGTACAGCACAGCAATTTGAAGATACTATTCTGTGAATTGGCACCAAACATTTATATCAGAGGAACTTGGCCTACAGGCCAGTGCATGAAACTGAGAATTAGAAAACCTACTTTCTAATACCATTTCTTGCCCAGAGTGAGAGAGCTATCCAGTGGCAGTTATTTCACCTTTCTAAGTCTCCAATTCTCCTTTAGTAAAAAAAAAAAAAAAAGCCTGCTTTTTTTAGAGTGCTTTGAGATTACTGGCTGAGAATTACTATAGAAGTACAAAATGTTATCATTCAGATTTTTCCAAAATCCAACTGGTCAAAATGGCACTTCCAGTACAGTACTAATGGTTTTCAAACATTGGGGAATGTTGCACTGATCAGTGATTTAAGTAGAGAGGAGTCTAGGCAAAATACCGTACCAAAACACCTTGGGGTGAATCCTGACTCTGCTGAAGACAATGGGAGTTCTGCCATTGACTTCCGTGGGGCTAGGATTTCACCACATTCTCTGGCTCTCTTTTTGTACAGCACTAGAAAACAGTGACAGAAGTATCCCAGTATCAGTTACAGCATAGTGAAAGCAGAGCCCTAGCCAGAATAGATTGCTAACTCAGCAGCAATTCACCCTAGCGCAGTGATACTCCAAAGTGGTGGCCCGCGGACCGGTGCCAGTCCTCAAGCCATCGGCTGCCGGTCTGCTGGGAAAAAAAATTGCCAGTCCCCCACATCAGATAGCTTGAGAAGCACTGGGTCTAGAGGAAAGTTGTTTTTTTTTCTGACTCCTTGCATTAGTTTTCTGTTCCCCAGAGGTCCACTGCTTCCTACAAAGGTGGATTTGGTATATGCTACAGCATTTGGCTGATCTTTGACTGGCTCAGAAACTGATCTCTTACTGTGTGAATCAGTGGCTGGTGCCTAGCAACAAGTAAAAGTACCTGCAGTGTGCATGGCTTTAGCTACTTTATCTGCTCGTAGGCACCGAGAGCGATTTAAAGAGTGAATCTGTTTTACATATTTGTCACATACCAAATGGCAGTTTTTCCTTTTAGTCTTTATAAATGATCATTTTTCAGAGAGCGCTGGCTTCTGTCATTTACCAACTGAAGTACAGAATGGAGTTTCTGATTCCAGGATTGTTTTATTTCTATGAACAAGATCATACGATATCCCACAGTTTGAACAATTTGATATCGCTTAGAAAATGTAATACTGTTCCTGATTATGAGCAGTGTTCACGCTGGTGATGGTACATGCCCGCTTCTAGTCACTTTTTCTCAGCTGGCAGCAGTGAAAAGTGTGGTAGGTGATAGCTGGCTCTACCCCCTCCCAGCCATTCACTGCCTTTGGGCAGGTCTACACTTAAAATGCTGCACCGGTGCAGCTGTGCTGCTGTAGAGCTTTAGGGCCTGGTGACACTTGCAGATGTAAAGCGCTGTGAGTTAAATCCGCCTTCGGAGAGCGCAGTAGGGAAAGCGCTGCCGTGTGTTCACACTGTCAGCTGCAAGCGCGCTGGCATGGCCACATTTGCAGCACTTGCAGTGGCATTGGGAGAGATGCATTATGGGTAGCTATCCCACAGAGCACCTCTTCCCATTCTGGCGCTGTGGCTTATGGTAAGGGAGCGGGGGGGCATTCTGGGTCCTGTCGCAGCGCCCCATGATGCATCGCTTCGCATCCCAGCAATCCCTGTGCTTCCGTCCACATTTGGTACCATCTTCCAATAGTTTTTGTACTGCGCGCTCTGTCTTCCCTTTCGGTCTGTGGGAATGGAGCCCAAACTGCTGAGGAGTATGCTGATGAGTCTCACCAGCACGTCACGTTTGGCAGTCGAGTTACTCCTTATGATCCAAAGTGACAATGAGGGCTTCGACGAGGATATTGACTCGAGTAATGCATATGACACGAGTTTGCTTGTGGCATTCACGGACATGCTCACCGCCATGGAACGCCGCTTTTGGGCTCGGGAAACAAGCACTGAGTGGTGGGATCACATCGTCATAAAAGTCTGGGATGAGGAGCAGTGGCTGCAGAACTTTCGGATGAGAAAAGCCACTTTCATGGGACTGTGTGAGGAGCTCGCCCCCACCCTGTGGTGCAAGGACACAAGATTGAGAGCTGCCCTGATGGTGGAGAAGCAGGTGGCTATTGCAACCTGGAAACTGACAACTCCAGACAGCTACCGATTGGTCGCTAACCAGTTTGGAGTGGGAAAGTTGACCGTTGCAATTGTGTTGATGCAAGTTTGCAGGGCCATTAATCGCATCCTGCTCAGAAGAACCGTGACTCTGGGTAACATGCATGACATTGTGGCTGGCTTTGCACCAATGGGTTTCCCTAACTGCGGAGGGGTGATAGATGGCACACATATTCCAATTCTGGCACCAGCCCACTTACCCCTTCCAATTAATGTACTCGGAGGCTATTTCTTTATCGTTCTCCAGGCGTTTGTGGATTACCATGGGCGTTTCATTGACATTAACACAGGCTGGCCCGGAAAGGTGCATGACACACTTATCTTTCGGAACACTGGCCTGTTCACGAAGCTGCAAGCCGGGACTTTTTTCCCAGACCAGAAGATCACCATAGGGGAAGTCAAAATGCCCATTGTGATCCTTGGAGACCCTGCTTACCCGTTAATGCCGTGGCTCCTGAAACCCTACACAGGGAGCCTTGACAGCGGCAAGGAGCAGTTCAACAACAGGCTGAGCCGGTGCAGAATGACTGTGGAGTGTGCTTTTGGCCGTTTAAAGGACTGCTGGCGCTCTCTGTATGGGAAGCTGGACCTGGCTGATGACAGCATCCCTGCTGTTATATCTGCGTGCTGTACCCTCCATAACATTTGTGAAGGGAAGGGTGAAAGCTTCACTCAGGCATGGAACTCGGAGGTTCAACACCTGGAGGCTGAATTTGACCAGCCAGAGAGCAGGGCTATTGGAGGGGCCCAGCACGGGGCTGCAAGGATTAGGGATGCCTTGAGGGAGCAATTTGAGGCTGAAAGCCACCAGTAATTTCTGGTGCCCTGCACAGGAGTGAAGTGCAGTGGTTCCAATGTTAGTAGGAATCTGTGTTTGCTACGCTGACTGGCCATGCCTGTTGCTTTCCTGGGCTAAGGTATCTTTTACTTTATGTAATAATAAAGAATGTTTTCAAAGCCAAAAAATCCATTTATTGAAAAGAAACACAACTGCTTGAGAAACAGAAAGGGCAAGGGGGTGGGGTGGGGAACGGTACAATCATAGATTTGTGTATATCCTGTTATCATACTCAGCCTTCCTCACGGCACAGTGGCATGGACAAGTTAGCCTTACTGGGACAAGGACCACAGTGGCTTTCCCGAGAAAACTGTGCAAGCGCATTGCCCAAGTTCTGGATGAGACCTTTGAAGAGATCACTGAGGCCAGTTACTGCGATGTGAGAGAGCACATCAACACCCTATTCCGCGTTCTAGGCATGCATGCAGCCCTAACCCTCCTCGCCCCAAGAGCCTGCACCGAATAACTTCCTTCCCAAAATAAAAGCCGCTTACTGGGCATCTCCTCTGGTGTTTGTCCTTCCCCAAGCACCGGCTGCCACGACTGGCTACCTTCTTCCTGGCTTGAGAGCATCTCCTGGCTGTATGCATCTAGGGATTCCGGGGTGTCTTCCTCTGCCTCAGCACCCTCGCTCCCACTTTGCTGCTCCTCTTCCTCCTGCCTTGTTGAACTGGAGTCTGAAGTGTCCATGGTGCTACTCGGAGTGGAGGTGGGGTCGCCCCCAAGTATTGCGTCCAGCTCTTTGTAGAAACAGCAGGTTGCAGGGGCAGCACCAGAGCGGCTGGTTGCCTCACGGGCTTTGCGGTAGGCATTCTGCAGCTCCTTCACTTTAACCCTACACTGCAGTGCGTCCCGGTCATGGCCCCTAACCAGCATGTCCCTTGATATCTGCCCGAAGGTATTGTAATTCCTACAGCTGGAGCGCAGCTGGGATTGGACAGCTTCCTTCCCCGAAACACTGATGAGGTCCAGCACCTCGCCATTACTCTATACTGGCATGGTCACCTGGAAAGATTTGCTGAGAGCACTCCACGCCTTGCTGAGCAAACAGGAAGGGGATTTTCACAATTCCCAGAAAATTTAAAGGGTGGATCTGACGGCTGGTCATCTGAGGGCAGGGCAGTAGAGTTCAAAGTGATGACCAGAGTGGCTAGAACAGGCATTGTGGGACGCTTCCGGAGGCCGATCAGAGCGCACTAACGGACCAGGGCGTCCCCACTGGTGCTGCGGCACACCAAACGTTATTCCACTCGCCGAGGTGGAGTACCAGGAGCCCTCTAGCCGCTGAGTCAGAGCGCTCTACATGCCTTGCCGGTGTGGACGGGTAGTGAGCTAGTGTGCCTGGGGCTCCTTTAATGCGCTCTAACTCGCAAGTGTAGCCAAGCCCTTAGTGAAGATGCAACTATGCCGTCGGGCATAGTTTATGTACCGCTGCGATTTTTCACATCCCTGAGCAACGTAGTTATACCAGTGCAAGTTTATAGCGTAGACCTGTCCGGACTGTTATGCTTCAGCATTGTCATTAGGAAAGATCCTTCAAAGACAGAAGGCACCTTGACGTCAAAAGACTTGCAACAACTGCACAGGTCAGTTGCTAAACAGGTGTGTAGGTGTGGTAATGTGCCCTAAGAACCCCTGTTATCTGGGACTGAACATCAGAATTAACTATGATGTTAAATCAAATCTTATGCGTTATTCAGAAGGGTTTATAGTGAAATTCATGTTAGAAAAATGTATGTTTCAAATTTCCTGACTCCAAGAGGGTTCCTGGAGATGTCCCCTGCAGTTACTTTGATAACAGTTTCTCTTTACAAATGGTAATTGCACAATTCCAGCTTTTGTACAGCGTGCCCTTGCGAACTCTTCCCTTGCATCAAAGAACAATTTTCAGATCATTTTCATAGCAAAAAGGAAATGATTATGGAGATAATCTGTTGGAAACACGTGCTGGGTTTCAGTTTAAAACAATAAAATGCATTCATGAAGTGAGAAATGGAGTGTTACCTGTACTGACAATATGCAGAAAATAAATTGCCTACACATTCTAGTTTACTGAGCTATTAGGAGTTTAAAATTGTTCCCAGGATTAGTCTGATTATTAAATGCTCCTAGAAATAAGGTGACTTATGTGC